AAACAATTAATTACATGGAGAGAGCCTACAGAATGGGAGAAAATCTTTATCACATGGACCTCAGATAAACAACTCATCTCCAAGATATATAAAGAACTCAAAAAACTCACCACCCAAAAAAAAAAATATCAATAAATGGGGTAAGGAACCGAATAGACACTTCACAGAAGAAATACAATTAATCAACAAATATGTGAAAAATGTTCAAAATCTCTAACAATTGGAGAAATGCAAATCAAAATTACTCTAAGATTTCATCTCACTCCAGTCAGAATGGCAATTATCAAGAATACAAGCAACAACAACAGATGTTGGCAAGGATGTGGGGAAAAGGTACACTCATACAGTGTGGTAGGACTGCAATTTGGTGCAACCATTATGGAAAACAGTATGTGGATTCCTCAGAAAACTTGGAATGGAATCATCATTTGACCCAGCTATTCCACTCCTTGGTTTGTACCCAAAGAACTTAAAATCGGCATACTACAGTGATGCAGCCACATCAATGTTTATAGGAACTCAATTCACAATAGCCAAACTATGGAACAAACCTAGGTGCCCTTCAACAGATGAATAGATAAAGAAAATGTGGTATACACACACAATGGAATTAGCCTTAAAGAAGAATGAAATTATGGCATTTGTCCGTAAATGGATGGATTTGGAGAATATCATGCTAAGCAAAATGAGCCAATCCCCCCAAACTAAGGGCTGTTRTTTTCTCTGATATGTAGATGCTAATTCACAATAAGGGGTGGGGGCTACTAGGGAAAAATAGGGGTACTTTGATTAGACAGAGGGGAGTAAAAGGAAAGTAGGGGGTATGGAGGTAGGAAGGATAGTAGACTGAATCAGATATGTTTACCCTGTGTGCATATATGATTACATGATGTGATTCTACATCATGTACAACCAGAAGAATGAGAAATTATACTCCATTTATGTATGATGTGTCAAAATGCATACTCCTGTCATGTATAACTAATAAGAACAAAATTGTAAAAATCAGCATACTACAATGACACAGCCACATCAATGTTCATAGCAGGTCAATTCACAATAGATAAGCTATAGAACCAAYTTAGGTGCCCTTCATCAATGAATGGATAAAGAAAATCTGGTACTATACCCAATGGGATATTACTCAGCCGCCGTAAAGAAGAATGAAATTATGCCATTTGTCAGTAAATGGATGGAACTAGAGACTCTTAATAAATAAGCCAGTCCCAAAAAACAAAAGGCCAGATGTTCTCTCTAATATGCCATTGCTGACTCACAACAGGTAGGGGGGGGTGGTGAGGAAAGAAGTGGAGGTTCACTTATTTGKACTGGAGAACAGAGGGAAGGGAGCAGGGATGGGAATGGGAAAGACTATAGAATGAATCGGACATAAATTTCCTATGTTCATGTATGAATACATGACCATTGTAACTCCACATCATGTACAACCACAAGAATGGGAAGTTACTCCACATATGTATATGTCAAAATACACTCCACTGTCATGTATTACTAAAAAAGAACAAATAAAATTTACCAAAAAATCATGCTCTATGCTTATACAAATATATGACAGGAAACTTCACCTTTATGCATAGATAGAAAGACCCAATTAAATATAAATGAATAGACAAGCCAAAGGAAACCTAGTAGAGGAAAGAATGGAGAAGATGGAGGACAGGAGGGAAAAGGGTGGGTATCATGAACAGAACTTAAGTATATACACCCATGAGTTTGTTAGGATGAATACAACTACTATAAATAACTATAAATCTCTAATTTTAAAAAGTAATGTACACTTAAAATTTTGTTAAGAGGGTAGATTTCATGTTAAAAGTTCTTATCATGATAAATAAAATCAAACACTTTAAAAGGAGTGGTAAGAGCAAAGTGGGAGAGAGAGAAGACCCTAGGAGGAACCTGGGTCTCTGGTGTAAGCTGCTGGAAGCATGTGGATGTCATTAACTGAACTAGGGAGTACATTTGGGAGGTAAGAAAGTAAATTTAATTTCAGATATGTGTGGGAAGAAGCTGCACTGGTACCGGTTTGCAAAAGCATCTTCCCAAACCTCTAACTATAGTGCTTGGATCTCTATATTACTTATTCATTTGACTTTGTTTTTCCAGAATTCTACTTTTAAAATGCTCCTGAGATTATTGATGCTTTCTTTATGTATGATAATAGCACTGTGATTTTGTAGAAAAAAATTCCTTAAATGTTAAAAATACATGCCAAGGTATTTAATGCATAAATGAAACATTGTCAGGTTACTTTCAACTAACCCAGAAAAAAAAAAAAAACCTGAAGTGTACATGTGTAGAGATAGATAAAAATAATATTGGCAAAATATTTAAAATCATGAAAACTGAGAACTAAAAGTACGTGTTCATTACCATTCCCCGTACTTTCGAGGATTTGAAGATTCCCACAATAAAAAAAAAAGTGCTCCTTATTTTGGAATTTTATTGTTAACTCAATGGAAACTACAAGAAAAAGAGCTAGATATGTGTTGCTTGTATAGATGCTTTCCCTCTACAGACTTCACAAAGGTTTATTTAAAAATTAAAAACAGAAAAAAAAATGTAGGTTAAAGAATTATTTTGAAAATACTCTTAAAAGTAGACATTGTAGATGTCAGGACAATATAAAGAACTTCCAATATAATGTAGAAGTTGAAAGCAATTAAATAATAATTCAAAAAATAAAGGAGTGAAAAGGTACTATAATGAAGCATAAAGTTTATCAAATAAGTTAAAAATGGAAATTTAACATGCAACTTACATCAATAAATAGAAACCAGTTAAACAACTCAGTTTGATTTAACAAATATTTATTAAGTACATAAGTGTTTCAGGTTCCACTAGGTTTTGAGAAATTAATAAAAATACATAAACAAAGAACCTCAGCTCATGAAATTTAGTCTAGTATAGAAGACCGTAATGAGTAAATGCAAAAAAAAAAAGTGATGCATTATTACTAGAAAAAAAAAGTTTAAGATGAATACAATAAATGTTTTCTAAACAGTTTGCAGAAGGCCTTGAACACATTATCGAATGTATCATTTTTTCTTTATTATCACAAATCAACTATATATCAGCACACATATTTAATACTGAAATATTATAAACTATTTTAACATACTCAATAAGAAAAAGATAATCACTGTCAAAGCACCATGTTTATAGAAGTCCTTACTAAGATAAAATATACAAATAGCAACTCAGTATTAATCTTATGGGAAAATGCAGACCAATGAAACTGTTATTTCAGAATTTTTTTTTTAAATGAAGAGTTTCAATAGCATTAACTCAACATCAGTATTTTAAGGTACTCAGTCAATTCCAAAGACAAGGTCAAATAATAAGGATAAAGTACTGAACCAAAGTTTTCAGTCTAGTAAGTGAAAACAGATAATGGTTGCAATATAATATGATTAAGAACTGTACAATAAGTGAACACAGTTTTATGACAATAGGAAGGACAAGTAATACCTTTGTAAGCAAACTAGAAAAAGCAGCTTCCCAGAAGATGACAAGATGAGCCAGGGTAAATATGCAAAAATAGGAAGATCTTTCTGTATGGCAGAATTGTTGGTTTAAAATGTAGGAGAGACATTGTAAAATCTGTGTATTGTAAAAAAAAAAAAAAAATATCAGTCTGGCTGAAGCACCAGGAGATTGGAGAAGGGTAAGAAATCAGTGTTGACAGGCGATCATACTTCAGTCTTAAAGGGAATCTTGGAATTTATCCAGAAAACCAGGATTATAAGCAGTGGATTAACATCAAATTTATGTCTCAGAAATATATTCAAAAGGAAAAAATGCTTAATTGCTTGCTTACAAGGTATTTCCATAATCCAGATGACAAATTCCTGTGATCACAACTAGGAGAGTAACAATGGGGATGAAGAGGAAGKTTGGATTACAATAATAATAAAGCTATGGAATTCATGGACTTGCAGAGGGCAGGCAATGAAACAAAGAGTCACCCCTGACACCACAGTGTATAGASGGAGATCCACTATAATAAGAAATGAATAGGGCAAATGACTGCAGAGGTAAAGACATAAATGTTAAAAAGTAAAACTTATGAATTCTGCCTTGGCCATGTTGAGTTTGAGATACTACAGTGTGTTCCAGCTGGAAATGTTGAGTATGTGTTCTAATGATCAGAAAAGATATGGGGTGGAGAAGGAGGATGGAGTCATTGGTATAGATAAGAACACTCTAATTCTATATCCTAGGAACAGAGATGATCACTTAAGATGAGTGTAACAATAACTTCCTTCTCTTCCCACTATCCAGAGGAACAAAAGTATTTTTAAACAAATTTTTATTAACCCATTTGGCTGTATAAATAGAGGTGATCATAAGGTGACTTAAAGCTCCATAATTGAAATATTGTCATAAACATCATGAAGTAGGCTTATTTGTACTTGCTATTTTTTCTTCTGGTTTGCTAAATTTGCATAACTTATTAGATCTCAGTGTGTTTGATATTGAGATAGAATAATATTTTTCTAGGAATACAAAACAGAAAGGGTTCCTCTCTATATTTTTTTCACCCATTGAACATGATCAGAATTTTCTTTAGAGATAGGGAAACAATGAGCATAAATTGTCTTGAGAATACCATCATTATTATATCTTGTAAGGAAGGAGGATAACAATGAATTAGACACTGTCAAAGGCCAGATGGATGATGTATTTTTGTTATTTGGCAAACTATGGTAAATTTATTTAATAAAAATTATATAGTAGCCACTATGAGGCAGACAGTTAAAAATACAGGATTTTGTTTTTAACTTCCAGGGGATCGTAGTCTATTATTTAGCTAGCAAGTACACTTGAAATAGTTCTCCTTAAATAGGTACTTCATCAGCTAAAATACACAGTCATAGTTACATTTTACTAAGAAAATTAATAAGCATGATAAGAAATCAGACATTAATCTCAAAGAACTAAGAGGTCATTGCTTTCAAAGAGACAGAAAGTTAAATTTAATCAGAATTTTTTGTTTGGACGCTTTGGAAAAATTTGAGCAGTGCATTTGATCCCTTTGTTGCTTTCCTGATGGTTGGATTCCTCACAGACTTTGTTTTGGGAGGTGGTGACTGACTTTTATTTGATCTTTCAGGAAGTGGTTGGTGATCTTTATTGCATATAAACTCAAGCCAGGAGACCCCTGGAGGCAAACGGTGGTAGCTAAGGACCTTGGTGACTACACAGCCTGAGAGGGCAGATGGAGCAGAGTCTTTTAAAGAAGGGAGTAAGGAGGGTAAGGCAAAAGAGGAAGAGGATGGAGAAGAGGAGGCAGAGGAGGAGGAGGARGAGGAGGAGGAAGAAGTAGAAGGGTTTGGGTTCTCGGATTGTAGCAGAGTACTACTGTTTTTTTTAACATAAAGTAGCCAGTCAATAGCCTGGGGCTGCTGACTTGTGACTTTCTTCTCAGGGCATGTCAACCACGTTTTCTTCATATTGAGCCCTTGGATGATATTTGATTCAGAAGAGGGTAAAATCTGTGATATCTTCTTCATTTCTTCAATACTGTCATCAGGGACTTCGTCAGGCTGATTTTCTTTCAAAGGTAATGAAACATAAGAATTCTCTGGCAGGCAGAGGATGAGAACTAATTTCACCTTTATTTTCCCCTCAAAATTGGCCTCAGGTGCTGGTATGGCAAAAAGTGTTGCAGAGCGAGGATCTCTCTTTCCTGAAATATGTCTACATTGAGACTTTATGCAGGAAGCACAAACCAAACAAACCGTATACATTGTTGAAAGGCGGGGACCAGGCCGAGGATTTGGCTTTCCCCTCATTCTTCGAAAAAGAATTTGCCTAGAGAGATCCTTCTGGATTCTGGTCTTGGAGATAGAATTGACAATTTTATTTAACACTTGCTCAGGGACTGTTCCACCTTTAACAATGCAGGGATTACTACAATCTAAAGTCCAGGGAATTTCTTTATCTGATTCTTTCTTTGTACTAAAACTGAAGCTGCTTTTACTGGATAGTCTGGAACCTACTGTAGATATGTTCCTGAGGCCGTGTTTGGTGCTTGATGGTGATATGCCTATGACATTTGGTTTCAAATGATGGGATGATGGTAGTTCTGTGGCTTTGTATTTGCCACTTTGTGAAGTGCCATTCTGAGACTTGGAGTGACAAACTGGTGTGCTGAAGGTCTGAAAGTTGCGGTCAAAGGTAAATACCGTCTGAGACTTGGACTGGAACAATGGAAAACTCTGAGGCTGGTGGAAAGAATGTGGATGCCTTAATTTTAAATGGGACAAAGGTAAACTCAGAGGATTGGAACTGAAGTTCAACACAGATGTTTTCTGAGATCTGGAAGTAGGTAATGGTGAACTTAGAGTCATTTGCTTTGACTGCAAAAAAGGTGATGTGGGAAGGTAGTTAAGTGTTTCAGATTTGGTTTCGAGTGATGGTGAGCTCAATGATCTCTGATTGCGTTCCATTAAAGATGTCCAAAGGCAGTCCAATGAAGTTGTTTTCTGAGATTTTGATTGAAGTGATGTTGAGCCAAAGCATCTTTGGTTTAGTCCTAAAGAAGGTGATGTATAGATGATTTTTAGGGAAGGTGCTTCTTGGTGTTGGAGAGCAGAAAATGATGAACCTGGGACTCTTTGATTAGACTTCAGTGAAGGTGATGTACAGCAAATGTCTAGGCTTGAAGATGAAGGTTTGAAGAGGGGTAGTTTTGAGCTTAAGGCTGTTTGATTGGCCTCCAGTGTTGATGCTGTCTTGTTGAAGTCAGATGAAGATATAGTCGGAGGTTTGGGATGCAACAAAGGTAAATTTAGGTCTGTTGAAATGGGATTCGATGATCTGCGATAGAGGTCTGGTGAAGGTGTGCCTGGATATTTAGTGTCAGATAATGATGACTTCATAGTCCTGATTGGGAAGCTCTGTGAAAGTGTCACTTGAGATTTGGGCACTTGAGAAGGCAATATTGAGCAGCTTTGGACCATCTTGTTAGAGCTTAACGAAGGTGCTACAATGTTTTTGCTATGGGATTGTACTTTGACCACAGGTTGGTTTTTATGTTGATTTAGTTTTTCAGCAATGAACTTTTGTCTAAATGAATGGGCTTTGGTCTGTTGGTAAGACTGGCCTAATGGCAAAAACTTTTGATCATAACATGCTAATGGCAACATCTTGTACGGTGGTGGTGTTCTTTTTAAAACCAGTTCCTATGTATGGGGATGTTTTAGTAGCTGTTAGAGTCTTTTAAGCCAGATCCTATTGGCAATGGACATTTTTAAATAAATACTATTTAGTAGTTTCTAACTTCTATCTTGCCACTCTCTGTTAATTGCCAAAATTCATAGGATGATTCAAGATTAAGGTATAGATGAGATTGGGTGGGGGGGAGTCAACATTGGAAATGATCCTTGGTCTTCTCTTCAATTTCCAAGAGTGTTTTTCCTTTTGAAGAAATAATCCCTGTTAACAAAATAGTGAAGAGAGTTCAGAAGAAATCCTGATAAGTAATTAATTTTCTTTAAAAACTGTGTTGTGACTAGAGCACATTCTTTAGAGCAAATCCCTGTCACTAACTGTGTCTGTGTTTAATATCACAGTGTATCTTAGTGTTAATTAAACCATCTAAATCCCAACTGACCATTTGTAAATAGGTAAATATAACATTTAATTTATTAATCTAAAAACTAAATAAGATAATGCATATAAGATATCCAACTGTGCCCTGGATATAATAAGCATTCAATAAAATGTAGMAGCTATTACAGGGTGCTCTTTTAATTATTGCATTCATTCAAAATATCTTGACAATTTTCTTGGGTAAAACAAGAGAATCTTAGAGAAAGGTGAACTGGAAGTTCAGAATGTTGTTTTTCAATTTAGATTTATTTGCCTACCATACTCCCCTTTTAGCCTACTTCCCAGAGTCTGCACATCTGGTTGAAAGTTCATTGCATGTTCTCAAACTTGTTTCATTTGTCACAGTTGCACTTAAAACCCTTGGCTACACCCTTTTAAATCTATGGATGTCCATTATTTCCCTCAACTCTGAACCTCTACTTTTTCTCCAGGCCTTTGCAGGATTCTTTTCTTTTGCTCTTACCTTAATATAGCTTTCAGAGTTAATATCACCAATTTTCTTGTTATTACATTCTAACATAATTATCCCAGTTATGTTTTGGATTTTAAAATGAACTATTGAAGCTTCATAAAAAGAATTTTGAAGCTGACCAAAAGTGATGGGAGCATCTACCACTCAAGGAAAGTTAACATGCTGTTTCCTTCATAAAGGTAATACCCTAGTGTGACATGATACACTGCTTTATTTTTCCTGGTCAAAAGTTTCTTCTTCAGGTTTAAAACTAAGATATCTGATATGATAAAGAAAAGAAATTATTGAGGACTGGGATTGTAGCTTATGGGTGGAACACCTGCCTGGCATGTGAGAGGCACTGGGCTGGATCCTCAGCACCACATTAAAAGTAAATCAATAAAATAAAAGTATTGTGTCCATCTACTACTAAAACAAAAAAAAATATTTTAAAAACTGGGAGCAATTCCAATAATTCCTGGAATCAGTCAATTGAGTGCTTGGTCTGAAGGCATCTAACAATGAGAGCTGACAGAACATGGTTGCATGATTCTCTCTAGGCTTCTATGGCTTACCAACCCTATTTCTTTTTTCTTTCATTCTTCTATCTGAAATTCAATTTCCTGTTTYTCATTCTACTTTTTTATGTTATTTGAATTTTATTTTATTTTTAATTGGCATATAAAATCTTATTTATGGAATACAGTGCAATCATACTATACAAGTATATACAATGTATAATGATCAAATCAGGGGAATTATCATTTCCATTACCCCACATGTTGTCTATGTGCTGACAGATGTAAAACTCTTCTTCTGTCCCTATTATGAAATACATAAGTTGATATAAAGTATAGCCAACCTTCTGTGATATTAAACATGAGATATAATTCCTCCTAACTAACTGTAGTTGGTAATCTTTATCTAACCTCTTTTTCCTTAGCCTTAGTGAGTTTCTTATATACATCAACTTATTTCTTATATATGTCAACTTATKGTAAAAATTTAGAATCAATTCTATTATTGCTAGAAGTTTTTCCTTTGTCCAGGTGATTTCAAATATTTACTCTCACTCTGTTGCATTCATTTAAAAATATACTTTATTAGTATTTTAGCTCACTTGTTTTTAAACCTTGAGTCATTTTTGAAGAATTCTTCAAGTACCAAAAATATTAGTTATGTATCAATAACTTTCTAATCTTTTATCCATAGTCCTATTTTCTCCTGAGCTTCAAAATTGTATTTCCAACTAATCATCAGACTTCTCCATCAAAAGTTTCAAAGATAATTCAAACACAAAACAACAAAAGCTCAATGAAGTTAATTATCTTTTCAGAAAATCTTTCTACATCTTATCTCTTGGTTCTTAATCCTTATTGACATAATTCGTAATCTTTGAAATAATTCAGACAGTTTCACTTTTCAAAGCCATTTAAATGCCAAGGGTGAATTTTTACCTCTTTCATAGTTTAATTTATTATTTTTTTCAAATTTCACTATTTCAGTTTGTACTATAGGTATATCACATCTAGACTAACATATTATTACAGAAACCACTATAATCTTCCCCCCATGAACTCACTATCTCTTTCCCCATTGTCCTTTCAAGATATCCAGGAACAAACTTGCTGATGAGACACCACTATAACTTGATCAGGGATGTCCCTTGCTTTGCATATGCCTGCAGGAGTAATAAACACAGAGTTCTCTCATGATTGCTGAATTTGTAGTGGTGTGATTTGATACATGATATATTAAAGAGGAGAATGCACACATCACAAGATGTTGCATAACACCAAGATTCCAGATAATATAGAACAACTGCATGACTTTGGGGCATGAAAGATTTCTTAAAGGAAATATAAAAAAAGTACTCATTCAAAAAGGATCAATTAAACTAAGAACTCCTAAACATCAAAAACATAATATTTAGAAAGAATAAATGCAGGGACTCGAGTTGTGGCTCAGTGGCAGAGCGTTTGCCTCCCATGTGTGGGGCCCTAGGTTCGATCCTCAGTACCACATATACAGACGAGATCGGGCACGTTCAGGGTAGTATGGCCGTAGACAGTAACACATATAGAAATAAACAAATAAAGTATTGTGCCCATCTATGACTAAAAAATATATTTAAAAAAATAAATTCAAATCACAGAATGTATAAAAATATCCATGATACATGTTATGGATTAGATATAAGGTGTCACTCAAAAGCTCATGTGTAAGATAATGCAAGAAAACTTTAATGTGAAATGATAAGGTGGTGAGAGCCTTAACTTAATCAGTGCATTAATCCCCTGATAGGGATTAACTGAATGATGACTATGGGCTGGAAGGGTGTGGCTGGAGGAGGTATGTCATTGGGGCCTGCCTTTGGGGTGTATATTTGGTGAGTTGAGCATAGTCTTTCAATCTGCTTTTTGGTGGCCATGTTCTGACCTGCTTTCCTCCACCACACACTTGTGCTATAATGTTCTGCTTCACCTCAAGCCTCAAGGAATGGTGCTGGATAGGTAAGACCTGAGAACTCTGAAACTGTGAGCCCCCAAGTAAACTTTTCTCCTATAATAGTTCTTGTCAAGTCTTTTGGTCACAACAGTTAAAAAGCTAATTAATAACATATATCTAACAAAAGACTCATTCATAGCCATGAAAATCTCTGCATGTTACTAAGAAAATAAGACAAAGAGTGCAAATAGAAAGATGAGCAAAGCACATGAACAACCA